AAGATGGCCGAGGTCAGTTGTCGGCTCCAGAGAGGCTTCGCGATCGGCAGGCAGTTCGGAGAGAACATTATCGACATTGACACCTACGCTCGACTCGCATCGATGTCGGATCAAGCCTAAACCAACTTTTCCCGCCATCGTCTCGTACGATTTCGCCCAGGCCTTCCCCTCCGTGGCGCACTCCTGGATGCACAAAGTTCTGAAGAAAATGATTCTCCCTGGGCCTCTGGAGTGGTTCTTCTGGGTCCTCTATCAGAATGTCCACTGCTTTGGGTCCCTTGGCGGAGCTACCGTGTGGCTCTTCACTATCTGGTCTGGTATCATTCAGGGGTGCCCTGCTAGCGGTGCTCTGATTGCTGCGAGTTTGAATCCGTTCTTGCTGGGCTTCGATCGGAGCTTCGTTGGCCTGTCGCGGGGTGTGATCCTCGCTTGCGCAGATGACATCGGCGGGGTGATCATGCGACTGAAGTACCTGACCGTCCTCTTCCGCATCTTCAGCTGGGCCCAGCGGTTGGCCGCGCTCATTCTGAAAACGTGCGAATGCTTCATCACCCCGCTGTGTGGCCCGTTCAGTGAGGAGATTGCTACCGTGTACCGTCGCGCTCTGGAGGAGCTCGTTCCGTCTTGGGCTGATTTTGTGGTTGTCCCGAACCTGAAGTACCTGGGGATGTGGGTGGGCCCGAACTCGTTTTACAAATCATGGGCGGGGCCTCTTGGGAAATGGAGGGAAAGAGGACACCTACTAGCTGGAGCTAACATGCCTACTGCACTTGCCGCAGTTCTCTATAACAACAGGTGCGCGACGGTGCCGACGTATGTTGCGCAGTTTCTACCTCCCCCCGTGAAGCTACTGGTGCAGGAGGTGGCGATGTTGGCCCGTATCTTCTACTTCCCGCACTGCGCTCGCAGTCGAACTGGATGGTTTGGGATGAGCAAATGGGGGGGCCCGAAGCTTGCATGTGTCACCCTCGGCGCCTACGCCGCGCACGGCAGGGCCGCTCTCTCGACCTTCGCGAATTGCTGGCCTCCTCTCGCGCGCAGGCTACGTGAGTAGGCTCTTCGTGGGCTACCGATCGTGGGTGTGCTGAAGGGGGAATGGTCTCCGACTTGGTGGGGTGAACCAGCGCTATGTCAGAGGCTCCAAGAGGCTGCCAGGGGATTTCCAGAGAACCCGAAGCTGGCTCATCTTCTCCCTGGATACTCTGAGGTCCACCGTCTGAGTTCTGAGGCCACCGCGCTCTGTCTTGCTGGGCGGCGCCCCCCACGGCTGAGGATCCAACGCGCCCTCCAGTCCTCTTCGACGGCCACCCTTTTTTCCTTCGGACGCCCTGCGGTTTCTTTTTCTTCGGAGGCTCCGCAGTTGATTCCCCGAGCTTGAAGAACATATCCTCCGTGTTGACTGGGGCGCCGTCAGCCTAAATATGTGCCGAATGAAAGTATCACACGCGTTTGCCATGATCCGCACCCTGTCAAAAGCATGGTTGACCCAGCAAAGGTTTCAGCAGCTCGGGTCGACATGCGTGGTTGGGTGCCCCCAGCCTAATTGCATGCGTCACTGCTGGCAGTGCCCTGTCTTGGCGGAGCTAGTAACCAAGATCGTTGGGGAGGGGGCGGTGGAGCCTGGGTGGGATGGGATCGACAAGCTCGGGCTTCTGGAGCCATCAGCCCAGAGATTCGAGGTGCCAGTCGCATTTGGGTTTCTTTACACATAGTTGCGGGCCAGACGTGCTCGCCTCCTCAGGCCCCTGACCAGAAGTGAGGCCGAAGCCCTCATTCAGGTCGTCCGCGCCCAGCTGTGGCGCTAGGGGTGCGCGGCCGTGGAGCAGACCGAGGCGCCGCGGCCGCGCGCGAGGAGGGGGGGAGGTGCAATAAATGTGAGCGAGGATAGGTTCCAGGTTCGAAAGCCGGACCAGCGGGGACGGCCTTCCCGCTCTCTGCCATCTCTCTCTCTCTCTCTCTCTCTCTTCCCCCCTATCTTCCTCTCTGTTTGTCGGCCTGCCTGCCTGTCTGCCTGCCTGTCAGTTTGTCTGTCTGTCTGTCTGTCTGTCTGTCCGCCTGTCTGTCTGTCTGTCTGTCCGTCGGTCTGTCTGTTTGTCTGTCTGGCTGTCTGCCCTGGTCCCCCAGGCGCGGCTGGGGCGCGCCCTCGAGGCGTGGCTGGGGGGCGCCCCAGCGACGTGGGAGCCCGAGAGAGAGAGTCTGTCTGCCTGTCTGCCTGTCTGTCTGTCTGCCTCATCCCGAGTCGTTCCTGGACGGCTCCGAAGGCCCGGGCGAGGGCCCTCCAGAGGCCGCAAACGTCTAAAGACATATATATATATACATATGTACATGTGATGTAAGTCGTTTCCTCGTTTTGCAGGCATAATGTACAAGTATGTATGTATTTACGCATGCATGCATGTATGTCTGCCTGTATGTATGTAGGTTTGTATGAATGCATGCATGCATGCATGCATGCATGCATGTATGTATGTATGTATGTATGTGTGTAGTTCTGTATGTGTGTGCATGGACGTATGCATGCGTGTGTGTCTACACATATGTACGAATGGTTATGTATGTATGTGCGCATCTATGTTTGTGTATACATGTATGTGTGCTTGCATGCATGTGTACAAACGTACGACATGCATGATTGGCTGTATATATGCATGTGCGTATGTATGTAGTTTTGACTGTGTTTATGCATGTATACATGTTTATATACATATGCATGCATACATACATGCATGCGTGCATGTCTGTATGTATTTATGCATGTATGCATGAATGTATGTATACATGCATGTATGTATGTATGTTTGCATGTATGTATGTTCGTACATATAGATGTACATTGACGTTTGTACGTATGCCTGTATGTATGTATATATATATATATATATATATATATATATATATGTTTTTTTTTATGCCTGCGTGTATGCATGCATGTATGTCCGAATGGATGGATGAACGGATTGATTAATGGATGTATGTATGGATGGACGGATGGATATATGGACGGATGTACGTATGTATGTATGAATCTGGAGGGGTGCGACCCCCCCCAGCCAGACCCCGGGATTCCTGGCCTCGGGGCACCCGGGATCTTTGGTCTCGGGGGCCCTCGGACGCCCCTGTAAGAAAGGTTTCCTGGAATTCAGGGCCCCCTCGACGTCTCTGCTGGGCCAGCGGCGGCTCCCAAAGGCCCCGGAGTTGGACCAGGATGGCCTCCAGCGGTCTCGGACCCCCGCCAGACGCCCGAAAACGGCCAACATATCACCCCCGAGAGATTTTTGAAATGCAGAAAATGTTGATTTCCGACGGTTTTCAAGCTTTCGGGGGGCGTTCGAGCACGCCCGAGAGGCTCCGAAAACCGGTCCAAGACAATCAACATAAGGTTCTTGACAGTTCAACAGAGCCCCAAGACAGCCTAAGAGGGCTCAGCAACTGCCCACAGAAGGCCCCATGACGGGCCGAAATTGCCCCAATACGTTTTCCAGAAGCATTCAAACTGTGCCCCGAGACTGCGATTCGTGGCATGGTGGCCCGAGGAACCCCGCAGAGGCCGCCAAAAGGCGCCATGGACGTCTCCAGAGGCGCCCAAGGACCCCCCAGAAAGCTTTCGCGCGGTCCTCTAGACGCTCCCCTCGGAGGAACCCCCGCAAACAAATCTGAGGAGTACGGGGGAGAGTTCGCGGGGCAATGGAGGCGAGAACGAGGAAGAGGAAGAGGACAAGGAAACAAACACATTAGGGAAGGAGAGGGAACAACGATATGATAGCGATGACGGCGACAACTGCCACCAAGAGCGATCGCTGTTTTGGTGGGTATACCTCGTTCTGCCTGCGCGAACGACCAAGGCGCATGGCGCGAAGGAGGAGGATGATGATGAGGAGGAGGAAACGGAGGAGGAGGAGGAGGAAGAGGAGGAAGAGGAGGAGGAGGAGGAGAAGGCGGATGAGGCGGAGGAGGAAGAGGAAGAGGAGGAAGAGGATGATGATGATGATGATGCTGATGATGATGATGATGATGAAGATGATGATGATGATGGTGCTTATGGTGATGATGATGATGATGGTGATGATGATGATACTGCTGCTGCTGATGATGATGATGATGAGGGTGATGATGCTGCTGATGATGCTGCTGCTGATGATGATGCTGATGCTGATGCTGATGATGATGATGATGATGCTGATGATGCTGATGATGATGCTGATGCTGATGATGATGCTGCTGCTGATGATGATGCTGCTGATGATGCTTATGCTGATGATGATGATGATGATGATGATGATGATGATGATGATGATGATGATGATGATGATGATGATGATGATGATGATGATGATGATGATGATGATGATGATGATGATGATGATGATGATGATGATGATGATGATGATGATGATGATGATGATGATGATGATGATGATGATGATGATGATGATGATGATGATGATGATGATGATGATGATGCTGATGATGATGATGATGATGATGATGATGATGATGATGATGATGATGATGATGATGATGATGATGATGATGATGATGATGATGATGATGATGATGATGATGATGATGATGATGATGATGATGATGATGATGATGATTATGATGGTGCTGGTGATGAAGAGGAGGAGGCGGAGGAGGAGAAGGAGGAGGAGGAGGAGGAGGAGCAGGAGCAGGAGCAGGAGCAGGAGTTGCAGCAGGAGCAGGAGCAGGAGCAGGAGCACGAGGAGGAGGAGGAGGAGGAGGAGGAGGAGGAGGAGGAGGAGGGAGGAGGAGGAGGAGGAGGAGGAGGAGGAGGGAGAGGGGGAGGAGGGGGGAGGGGGAGGAGAGGAGGAGGGGAGAGGGAGGAGGAGGAGGAGAGGAGGAGAGGGAGGAGGAGGGGAGGAGAGGAGGAGGAGGAGGAGGAGGAGGAGGGAGGAGGAGGAGGAGGAGGAGGAGGAGGAGGAGGGAGGAGGAGGAGGAGGAGGAGGAGGAGGAGAGAGGAGGAGGAGGAGGAGGAGGAGGAGGAGCTCCTCGAGGCGCTGGAGCTCTGGGCCTCCTCCTCCTCTCACCTCCGGAGCGGACCTCGCCGCTCCTGGCGACCTCTGGCGGCCCCGCTGCCGCTGGCGCCCCTCTCCGCGGCCAGCGCGCGCGGCAGCCGCTCGCTCGCCGCGGCCCTGTCGGCTCTGTCGCCGGGGGCGCTGGCTCTGCTCCGGCGCGCCGGCCCCCGCCAGGCCTGGCCCAGGGCCCAGGGTCTCTAGGCTTAAGTCGGGCACGCCCCTCTACAGGAGGAATGTCCAAAAATAGTCACAAACATAGTCAGCGGACTTTTTTGTTGTTGTTTTGCTTTGTTCCCTACCTAGGCTCTGCCTAGAAGGGTTCTTACTCGGTATGCTTAAAGGGCCGGGCAGTGCAACTCGCCCCGGGCGGTTCCCCCAGTATCCGCCCCGCGGTTCCCCCAGTTACGTCCCCTTAGCTTAACGTTGCGTATCTCATCTTAGCTTAGCTTATTTCATGTTAGCTTAGCTTCATCTTTGCTTAACTTAGCTTTATATAGATGTTGCTTTCCTAGATCCTCCAACTCCTAGGTAGGGTCGCACTGGGATAGTTTGTTGTTATGTATATGTATATATATATATATATATATATATATATATGTATATATGTATATAGATATATAGAACATTTTTTTTGTGTGAATCTGTTAGATGTTTCGTCCAAAATTCGCCTGTCGGGGGACACGCCCGACCTAACTCTAGGCATCCCAGGTGGGGTCCGAGCAGATGGGGTCGGAGGGTCGTGCCGCATGTCTGGTGCATCGGCGACGCGGCTCGATGCGGAGCCCGATTTGCTTCGCGCCGACGTCGTCGATGCGTCGCCGACGTCGGCGATGCATCGCCGATGCATTGGCGATGCGGCTCGATGCTCCGACCCCAACTGCTCGGACCCCATCTAGGAGGCCTCCAGGGTCGGCGTGTGTCAGAGGAGGAGAATCGGAAGCTGGAACATGTACATTACCAGTGGCGGGCTGGTTTTCCATCCCAGGATTTTGTGAGGGTCGGGGACGACGTCGGGGCGGTGTGGTGTGTACTTTTTTTCCGTTTCCCAGGAGCCAGCGAAACATGTATAACCAGGATCCCGTATGCACCAGGATCCGCTTTCTTGTGCAGATCCCAGTGCAGGGCCGCAAAAAGCGTCGGTGTATAGAGCTCGGATTCCCAGAAAAGTCGGGGAAGCGTAAGAGTCGAGAACGCCAGAGCTCGGGCTTGCCGACGTTTTTGACGAGCGCGTCCTGGATTTTGGCAGTCCAGTTTTCGTGGGATGTGTGCAGCGGGAGCTCGCGTCAAAATTCAGACTGGGTCTCGTCATCTTCATGATGGCCCCCACAGGCCCACCCGAGTCCCGCGAACCCGAGCCTTATGTCACCCCGAATAAGGTACACGTATCGCTGCCTTCCTTCGTCTTCCCATTTTCGGGCCTCCTGGGAGGCCATCGTCGCCACCGCTGGATTCGCCTCGAAATCCTGGCCACAACGCGCCCCGGGAGAGGTCCAGGCTTCTGGGTTGCCTCTGGGGAGCTTATGGGGAGTTTTTTGGGGGCCTCTGGACTCTGGGGGCTTTCTGGGGGGCTTCTGGCGACTTCAATGCAGGACGAGGGAGGAAGTGCATGAGGAGCAGGAGGAGGAAGGGAGGGACGGATGGAGAGAGGGATGGAGGTAGGGAGGAGGAGGAGGAGGAGGAGGAGGAGGAGGAGGAGGAGGAGGAGGGGAAACAGGAAGAGCAAGAGGACGGGGAAGAAGGACACGACGACGACGTCGAAGCAGGAGACGAAGAAGACGATGACAGGAGTCAACACCGTACGTAGCCCACGCCAGGAAGATGCACGATCGCACTGTACCTGGGGCCCTGCCACCTACCCGTCCGTGGGTCACCTGATGTGCGTGCGCCGCATAGGAAATGCATTGTGTGGCTATGCATCGTCTCATGTTGAGGCCCAGAATGCAAGTGAATCGTGTGCGCCGTATGGGAGACATACAAAGTGGCAGTGCTTCGCCTCATGTTGATGCCCAGAATGCACGTGCAACCATTGGTTGTCCAGAGCCAGTTTTCTGGTGACTCACCCGTCCGTGGGTCACCTGCTGTGCGCGCGCCGTATGGGAAGCGTATTGCGTTGCAATGCATCGATTGATGTTGAGGCCCAGAACGCAAGGGAAACAAGTGGTTTTCCTTAACCAGTGTTCTGGTGACCCACCCGTCCGTGGGTCACCTGTTGTGCGCGCGCCGTATGGGAAACGTATTGGGTGGCAATGCAGCGCCTCACGTTGAATTGAAGCACAGAAAACAAGTAAAATATTTTTTTTTTCGCCAGCAGTTTTTCGGTGACCCACCCGTCCGTGGGTCATTTGTTGTGCGCGTGCCGTATAGGAAACGTATCGACCATAATGCAAGTGAAACAATTGTTTTTTCCTCAGCCAGTTTTCTGGTGACCCACCCGTCCGTGGTCACCTGTTGTGCGTACGCCGTACAGGAAACGTATCGAGTGGGAATGCATTGCCTCGTTTTGAGGTCCACCCAGACTGTTACTAAAACAATCAGTTTTCTGAACTCGACCTCTGGTGACCCGCCTGTCCGTGGGTCACCTGTTGTGCGCGCGCCGTATGGGAAACGTGTCGAGTGGCAATGCATTGCCTCATGTTGATGCCCAGCATGCAAGTGAAACAATTGTTTTTTCCCGACCAGTTTTCTGGAGACCCACGCGTCCGTGGGTCACCTGCTGTGCGCGCGCCGTGCGGAAAACGTATTGAGTAGGAGTGTGTTGCCTCATGTTGGGGCCTAGAACGCAAGTGAACCAAACGGCTTTCCTCAGCCAGTTTTTTGGTGTCCCACTTGTCCGTGGGTCACCCGTTGTGCGCGCGCCGCATGGCAAACGCATTGTGTGGCAATGCGTCGTCTCATGTTGAGGCCGGAATGCAAGTGAACCAAACGGCTTTCCTCAGCCAGTTTTTTGGTGACTCACCCGTCCGTGGGTCACCTGCTGCGTGCGCCCCATACGGGAAACGTATTGACTGGGAATGCGTTGGGTTGCGTTATATTGAGGCCCAGAATGCGAGTGTTCTGGTGACCCGCCCGTCCGTGAGTCACCTTTTGTGTGCGCACGCCGTATGGGAAACGTAACGAGTGGCAGTGCACCGCCTCATGTGGAAGCCCAGAATGCAAGTGAAACACATGTTTTCCCAACTGGTGTTTTGAATGCAAGTGAAGCAATGGGTTTTTCTGAACCAGTTCTCTTGTGACTCATTCGTGCGTGAGTCACCTGTTGTGCGCGCGCCGTCGGGGACACGTACTGAGTGGGAATGCGTTGCCTCATGTTGGGGCCCAGAATGCATGTGAACCAAATGACTTTCCTCAACCAGTTTTTTGGTGTCCCACCCGTCCGTGGGTCACCTGTTGTGCGCGCGCCGTATGGGAGATGTATTGAGTGGCAATGCATCGCCTCATGTTGAGATCCAGAAAGCAAGTGAAACGCTTGTTCTTTTCTCGACCAGTTTTTCGGTGACTTGCGTGGGTCACCTGTTGTGCGCGCGCCGTGCGGGAAACGTATTGGGCGGGAGTGCATTGCCTCATGTCGGGGCCCAGAATGCAAGTGAAACATTTGGTCTTTCTCAACCAGTTTTCTGGTGACCCATCCGTCCGTGGTTCACCTGTTGTGCGCGCCGAACGTATGGGAAACGGATCGAGTGGGGATGCGTCGCCTTACGTTGAGGTCCAGAATGCAAGAGGATTATTTTTTCTCTACATTTGTTTCGTAAGCCTCCCCGTCCGTGGGTCACCTGCTGCGCGCGCGCCGTATGGGTCTACCCAGGGACGACAGACGACGCCAAGCAAATTCTGGGAAACCGTCCTTACCGTCACCCTGCCAGGAATAAGTGACGTTGCGCGCCACCCTGAAATCAAATTTGCCGTCCATGCTCGGACCGCGCACGCCGACAATAATGATTTGAAGCCTAAACTCTTCGTCGACGAATTCAAGGTGGCCCTAAAATTTCAAGCCCCAGGCCGGCCCCAGAATAATGATATTGTATTGCGTTTTGCTTCAGAACAATTTGCGATTCTTGGGTAAGTCCTGGGTAGCCCTGGAATTGCCCCCCAAAAGCCCAAGAAGAAGTACCTAATCGATAGGATTGAACAGTACCCAGCGCCACGTCATGCTTGTCCTCGTTTTTGGCCTCTCGGGGCCCTTCACGGGCCCCTGAACCATCAAAAAGCGGCTCCGGATGGAAAACCAGTTCCAGGGAAAGGGGGACCGCGCATGGAATCTATCAGATGTTGCATGTCTGCGTAGATGTTATGGCGCTCCCTCTTATCTCAGTACGTCCCCCGGCCCCCCCCCCAGGCCGCGAGCAAGTGCCGCTAGCCACGACATGCGCCTCCCCTTCTCGGGCGCCCCCCTCTTGGACGTTGGACGCCCCCGAGCCCTGACCGGCCTGGCTGGGAACCCCTGGGGCCACCTCGAGCGTGCGAAGTTCGGCGCGCTTCGCGCTTCGCGGTCTGGGCGATCTCAGAGCGAGGCGCGAGCCAATCATCCTGTTCCAGGGGTGGGGGGGGGGGGGGTGAGCGGCGCGAAAAGCGCGAGGATGATCGCGCTCCGCGCTTCGCGGAGCGCGACCTGCCCGAGAGATGGGCAGGCTCTCGGGCCCCTCGGGCGCTGTTTCGTGGGGGGCGATCATCCAGCGACGAGAAAAACCCCACGCCCGCCAGCGCGGCACGCCGCATTGGAAGTGAGGGCGCTTACGCACGACCTTAGGTGGGCAGCCTGCGCGCCAAGGTCGGTGAAGGCGACCCCGTTCTCTTGTGTCGCTCACATGGGGGGGGGGGGGGAGAAGCGCGCACCCGTCGTGCCCCTTTTGGGCCCCAAGGGGGGGGGGGTCTCCTTGCAGGGCACCGCAGAGGTGCACCCTTCTTCTTCGCCCCCCCCGTGGATAGCCCCCCCTCCCCCCCCCCCACTGCGCCACGCCCCGAGGCCCCCCCGGCACGCTGGCCCTGGCACCCCAACGACGCGGCAGAGGCAGTGCGCTCGCGGACCCGGAGGTCTTTTGGCGCTGCCTTTTTTCTTCGCCGGGCGTCGTCGTCCGGCTTCGGGCCTCGGGACCGTCACACATCGAGCCGGCCCAGAACATGGCCCAGGGCGAGGGGGTCCAGGGCTTTGGTCGGGCCTGTTACTCTACAGGGGAAAAGTTCAACGACAGAAAAAAAATTACCCT